CCAAAAAAATTAAGCGAAAGAGTTATGCGAAGTTATGTGGGCACCATTGAACCAATACATGATCTACAGCAAGGAGGAAAACTTGTTCATTATAAATTAAATAATGCTGGGTATTTCCCTTAGTGTTTCACTTCAAGAATAAAACGTTGGGAAGCCAGCAAAGCTCTAGCAACCACAAATTCTTGGGGAAAATATCGAAGAAACCTGATCAAATTAGTGAAGTGGGTGAGTGGGGAGATCAAAGTGGTTGTTTTATATCACGCAAATGAAATGAGCAATAGATCGGCTCTTTCACTGTTAGACCTGTTGATTTCCTGCCATGTTAGACACAGAGTTAGATGATCTGGGACTCATAGAAGCTTGGGTTACATGATTCTTTGGAAAAATAAGTGTGACAATAATACATGCAGGGCTTTTGTGTTTGTTTTGTAAGAAATCGAGCATGCACTACTATATACAAGTCTCAATATCCAAAAATGGTACCTTGCACTCATCTACTATGACAGAGTTGTGTGCAGCATAAACACATTGATTAGAGTTGCTTTCCCTATGGTTCTTCATATCGTCATAAATGGATTGAGTCTTGGTCATTTCAATATCTTCATGCACTTGGTGCTGGGAGTCAATGGAATCCAGCTCAGCCTTAGAGAGGTGATAGACAATTCCAGCCCCAAAAGAGTCACCCACGACATTGACTGAAGTTCTCATCCTGTCCCTAGGGACAAAGAATAGAAAAAGTGTAGTGAAGAAGCAATATGACATGGTGGTTCAGAGGTCAAGGTCTAGAACCAGAGAGATGTGGGGTTGATCTCTGGTTTCACCTTTTGTCCTCTGCCTGATCTGGGGCATGTTACTCAATCTTTATGAGCCTTGATTTACTTATATGTCAATTGGAGATAATAATCACACTTCTCTCACAGGTTTGTGTGAAAATTAAATGAGATAATATAAGTGTTTAGCATAAGCACTCAATAAACAGTAGCAAAAAAAAAAAAGGTGGAGGAGGAGGAGAAGGAAAGGAGGGAATCTGAGGGAAATCATGTGTCCAAATATCAAAATTAGTACCCAGGCTTCAGTCATTCTTAGTTGTGTCTAGCAATTCCTCCTGACTTAAATTCTTCTTTGAAGACTCCAGGCTACCTCCACTTATTTAATTTTGTTAGTTCTACTGGAAAGACTAACCACCTGGGAATTCTTCCATAATAGAAAATTCATGTTTTTGTAAGGATCGAAACTATCCCTAATTCCCTTCCCTCCACACACACACACAGACACAGTTGTTGGATAAAGAACCCAGACATAATTTTCTCATTGACTAATATGCATCATAACTATGTGTCCCAGAAAAATCGAAATACTTGCTGTCTTTATTAACTCCCCAAAAACTAACTCTTCCAGAGTGCCTCTTGAACCCTTCCCAGATCTTATGCCCCAAGTTCTGATTTGAAAAAAAAAAAAAAAAAAAATGATGGTTGATAACTGTTCCTCCTAGAAAGTCAAAACATGAAAACTAATTAAGTTTTTAATAGTGGATTTGTCCTCTCATCCGTAACTGTGAAGAGTTCTTTTGCCATGTTTCTAGATATTCAAAGTCCTGAAGAGAAGAATGCTGGAAACCACAAAGAAGAAGAAGTTTAGGTAAAGATGTCGCTGAGATATTCCCAGTCTGGACCCTCTAGCCTTCAATTTCAATAATACAAGGGCACTAGGATTAAGTCCTAAGCAAAGTGGAATCCTTAATTTGTTCTTGGAACAAAGGCCTAAAATAAATTATTGCTGCTATTATCAAATCTATTTCTCATTTGAGAATAATAAAAATGAAGCTTTACTTGGAGGAGTCTGCCCTGGTTCCCTTGCAAGGCTATATCTGTTTAGGATGATCAAGTGTGAGGCAGCCGTCCTTCTGGTTCTAACTGGAAGACGCTGCCAATGAAAAACAGAGATCAGAGTTGGACTTGACTGCTGGGGCATCTCTCCATCTGAGAATGCTCTTCCCCTCCCTCTTGCTTTGGAGAATCTTCCTCAGGATGATAGAGTGTACAAATCCAGTTAGGATGTGGTGGCACAGAGAAAGATGGACTTGAGAGTGATTTAAGGAAATCCAGGACTTGAAGATTGACTGGCTATGGGGAAAAAAAGAGAGAAGAGACAATGATTGCTCTCAGGTTTCTGGTTTGGGCTACCATAGGGTGGGGACGCGACTGGTTAGGGTGACAAAGTTTCTGGCTTCAGTTTAAACATGTTAAGTGTGAAGCCTATCATCCAGTAAAGGGGAGGTGATGGGAAATATGGACTGAAGATGAGGAGAGACATACAGATGTATGGTAAGCTAGCAGATGGACACGGATGCCACAGGGGTGTTTGAGCTCACCCTCAGAGATTATACAGGGTGAGAAGAGCAGATAATCTAGTCTAGGACACTGAGGGCAACCAACATTTAAAAACAGACAAAAAAAGAGTCTGCAAAGACGGGAGGAAAACGAGAAGAGTCTGGCGTTGCATAGTGAAAGGAAGTATGTTTCAAGAATAAGGGTGCTGTGGACAATGCCAGTTACTGACAAGAGGTCAGGTAAGACAAGCAAAAGAAGTGTCTCTTGGTTTTAGCAATAAGGAGGCCTCTATTGGCCTAGCAAAGGCAGTTTCAATACAGAGGTGGGAACAGAAGCCAGTGGGTAGAGAATTGAATGAATGGTGAAGAAATGGAGACGTTATATCTAATCAACTTATTCAAGAAGTCTGGCTGAGAAGGGAAGGAGAGGAAATGGAAGATGCAGGGAGACAGAAGATTGAGAGGTTTTTTAGTTTGCTTTGATTTTAAGAGGTAGAAGACTTGAACATGTTTAAACCCTGATTAGGAGGAGTTAGCAGAGAAGGAGAAATTAAAGATACAGAGAAGAGGGAATGATCCATGGAGCTAGGTCCCTAGACAGATGAAAGGAATGAGATAAAGAGCAGAGGTGAAGGCCGTATCCTTAGGTGGGGCTGATTCTATTCCGTCACTACAGAAGAGAAGTCAAGGAGTCCCATAGGAGTCAAGGGCAAATTTGTGAAGATAGATTTCAAATTGAGGTGGCAGGAAGTTAAAGCAGGTATAAAAGGATATGACTAGAAAGATATTAATTTAGACTAAAGTAAAATATTAGAGCCCTATCATGCCAGGTTCCTCTTGCATAAAGCATGCTGGGAAAGTTC